CTGGACATTTTCTCTGGCAGGACCCCATGCCCGGAACCCTCTCCCTCCTCCGCTCCACTGGCTGGCTTCTCTGGCTGCCCTCAAGTCCCAACTAAAATCCCACCTTCCACAAAAAAGCCTTTCCCCGTCTTTGTCCTGTATGCAGGCTTGTTGGCATGTTCTCTCTCCGACCAGAATGTGAGCTCTTGGAGATCAGGGCCTGTCTTTTGCCTCTTTTCATGTCCCAGGTGTTAGCATAGTGCCTGGCACATAGTAGGTGTTTAGTAAATGCTTATTGGCTGACTGAGGTGAAATTGGAGTCCAGGGCCTCTGCCTCTAAAACTAGAGGCCTTTAGTAGAGTAAAGGCAGCTGTTCCCCAGCTGCATCGGTGACCTTGGGCAGAGCCTCAGCTTACAGGCTTCATCGTCTTCTCCCTTTTGAAAATCTTTTTGAAAACTTAGCGTTTGCCCTCCCGTGCACCTATGATGCCCCCCCCCCAGCTCTTCTCAGCTTTTCAGGAACCCCTAAGAAGGGCCCAGGGACCGCTTCTGTTCTGGGGTCCAGGAGACCAGCCCTCACTAATGCTTTACTTGTCTTTCCTCAGCTGTAAAAGGAAGAGCTTGATCCAGAGGCCCTCAGGCCTCAGTGCAGCAGAAGGCTTTGGAATTGGGTGTCCTGAGCTTAAATCCTGCCTTTGTAACTTCCCCTTCATGTGACCTGGGCAAGAGCCTCGACCTCCCCAATTCTCACCTACCCCAAAGGAGGTCACTGGGCTGGAGCGGGAGGCTTCCCATTGCCACATCTGTTTGCTTTGTAATCCTATGTCTTGTTTGCACTTAAAAGCATTTCTGAGAAGGGGTCAGTAGGCCTCCCTCCCCAGACTGCCCGAGGGGTACAGAATGCCCCGGGCCAGAGGGGCTCCCTTCCAGATCTGAATTGGTGCTTCTGTGACTGCCCTAAGCCCAGAAGGAACTTCCCAGGCTCTTCCTTTCTGCCCTTGTGACCTGGGGGAAGTCGGTGAACCAGCTGGAGTCAGGTGCCTCTTGAATAAAATGAAGGTGCCGGACTGATCATCCCTGAGCTTCCTGAAATCCCATGAGCCAGCTTAGGGGAAGTTTCCCAAAGGGAAAGTGGAGACAACTTTGAAGTCTCATTGATTATGACCTCCCGAGACAGAGACCCGACTGCAGCCCCTGTCAATTTTAAATTAGACCATTAAATTGCAAAGAGGTTTTACAAGACGTTAATGACAGCTGGTGAAGAGCGAAGACTTACACTCGTGGGGACTTGGTGCTCATGCCAAATAGCAGAGTGACCCTCTTCAGACCCTGGCCCGGGAGCCCCAACCTCTCCTCCTTCTTATGCTGCCAAGGCAACAGCCCACCATGACTGTATACGTCAAAGCAGAGGGAATTACGTCTGACGTGGTGCGAGCAGACTGAAATGTGTCAATCCAGAGCCTTGGATGCCTAATGACCAGGCTGTGCTGTTAGGAGGTCCCTCCCAGAGGCCTGGCTCCTCTGAGCCTCCTTTTAATCCTGCAGGTGAATGACTTCTCATTCACCTCAGCTCACGTTTGGGCCAGTCAGCACTCTGGCCACGGGACTGCCGGGCTGTGCCTCAAGCCCAGGATTATTCATACAATGGAATCCTGCAACCTCAAAAATGTGTTTCTGTACCTTCAGATCGATGTGGCCCCCTCCCTTGGCCCAGCCACCCCCTCATCTAGGAGCTCAGCAGCAGCTACAATAGTTTCCTAACTAGTCACTTCACCTCAGTTTCCTCATCTATTAACTGGCCTGAGAAGACTTTCGTCACTGACCTCTTATGAAAACCCTTGGAGGTCTACACATGCTATAAATCTGTGAGCTGATGAGAGTCATCTGAGATGTCCAACATTTCTCACTGTCCCATTTCTTTTTTTTCTGATATTTAATATTTTATTTTTCAGTTCCATGTAAAAACGATCTTTAACATTTGTTTTTTTAAAATTTTAAGTTCCAAATTCAACCCCTCCCCCTTTATTGAGAAGACAATCAATTTGATATAGGTTATACATGCGCAGTCACACAAAACCTCCCCCCCTAATAAAAACACCAGAATTTTTTTTTTTAATTATGCTTCGATCTGCATTCAGATTCCATCAGTTCTTTCTTTGGAGGTGGATAGCATTTTTCATCATAGGTCCTTCAGAATTGTCTTAGATCATTGTATTGCTGAGAATAGCGAAGTCATTCACAGTGAATCATCATACAGTATTGCTCTTACAATCACCATACAATATTGTGTTCTCCTGGTTCTGCTTATTTCGCTTTGCATCAGTTCATGTAAGTCTTCCTGGGTTTTTCTGAAAGCATCCTGCTCCTCATTTCTTATAGCAGAATAGTATTCCATCACAATCATATACCACAACTTGTTCAACCATTCTCCAATTGAGGGGCATCCCTCAGTTTCTCATTCTTTGCCACCACAAAAAGAGCTACCACAAATATTTTTATACATATATAGGTCTTTTTTTTTCCTTTTTTAAAAAAAAATCTCTTTGAGATACAGACCTAGTAGGGGTATTTCTAGGTCAAAGTATATGCAGTTTTATAGTCCTTTGAGCATAGTTCCAAATTTCTTTCCAGAATGGTTGGATCAGTTCACAATTCCACCAACAGTGCATTAGTGTCTCAATTTTCCCATATCACCTCCAACATTTGTCAGTTTCCTTTTTTGTCATGTTAGCCAATCCGATAAGTGTGGAGTGGTACCTCAGAGTTGTTTTAATTTTCATTTCTCTAATCAATTGTGATTTAGAGCATTTTTTCATGTCACTGTAGATAGCTTTGATTACTTTGTCTGAAAACTGCCTGTTCGTGTCCTTTGACAATTTATCAACTGATAAATGAGGGGAATGGCTTGTATTCTTATGGATTTCACTCAGTTCTCCATATATTTTAGGAATGAATGAGGCCTTTATCAGAAAAACTTGCCATAAACATTTTTCACAGTTATGATTACTGTGTGTTTCCCTCCATCCTACCTCCCCTCCTCCATTTACCCTTCTCTCTTCTTTTACCCTGTCCCTGGTTGAAAATGTTTTGCTTCTGATGACCGTCTCCTCCAATCTGCCCCCCTCTTTTACCAGCCCCCCCCTTTCTTATCCCCTTCCTTTCCGACTTTCCTGTAGGGTAAGATAGATTTCTATACTCTACTGCGTGTGAGTGTTATTCTACCTTTGAACCAATTGTGTTGAGAATAAGGTTCAAGTGCCCCCCCCCCACATCCTGACCATCTTCCCCTGTGCTGTAAAAGCTCTTTGTGCCTCTTTCATGTGAGGTCATTTACCCATCTTACCTCTCATGGTCACTGTCCCATTTCCAGGGCTGCCTCCTGCCTTCCTGAAGCTGCAGAGTCCAGGCACTCAACCTCAGGAACTGTGCTTTCTCTACTCCTCTCTGCTGTCTCCTATTATTCACTGAGCAATCATTTATTAATCCCTGCTGTGTGCCAGGTGCTGGGGACAGAGAGGAAAAAAAAGTGGAAATCTTGCCTTCAAGAAGCATACACTCTTATTAGGGGAAAGACAAAATGCAGAAAAGTAAATCTAAAAGAGATGGCAGGATAGGGCAGAGGCCCCAGCAGCCAGGCATGAGCCAGGAGGTGGTACCTGAGGCGGCGGAGGGGGGGGGGGTATTGAGGATGGTCCAGGTGAGACAAGGAGAGTCAGGAGCGCTCAGGAAAAGAACAGCTGTGGGGAGAAGGGGACAGACAGAGATCAGGACTGAGCAAAGGCCGCGGGATTGTAGAGTTAGTGGAATCACTTCAGTCAAGTGAGGCAATGAAGAACACAAGGGGCTGAAAACCTCTCCTCCGAGGAGAGCACGGAATATGGGCCCTTCTAGCTCTCTGTCCTATGCCCTTTAGGCCTCCTTCCCAAAGCCGTCCTCGACTCCGCAAGCCCACACTGGCCCCATCCTCTCTGAGCTGCGCCTACACCTGGGCTCAGCAGCTCGCTCGGCCCCTCTTTCTCGCTGATGGTTTCACACACATTAGGATCATGGGGATGAGAGCCGGGAGGGCCCTTGCAGACGACCTGGCCCGGCCCCAGGAGGAGTCAGAGCTGCAGGAGGGGAGAAGCCCTGCCCAAGTTTGTGCAGCCATTTAGGGGCAGGGCTGGGGTTCTCTGACTCCAAACCGTCAGCCTCTGGCTGCCTTCACCTCAGCCAGATTAGAAGCCCTTGAGAACAGAGCAGTCTTGGATTGTTTCATCCCCTAGAAGGGTCCTGGATGCTCAAGAAATGCCGATAGGTTGGTTGGTGACTTTAATACTAGAGATTCACAGCTGTCTGGGTCGGGGGGGGGGGGAGGCGTGGACAGCAGCCACGTGGCTCATCACTCATCCTCCCCTCAAAGACGGCGAGCCCACTGGGAGGTTACCTGCCAACATTGGGCTCCCATGGCAGAGTCACAGGGAACCGTGAAGGAGGCTTGGTTCCTATCTCCATCAGCCTTCCCTGGTCCTCGAGGTCGAGAAGGGGAGGCCTGCCACCCTCCTTCCTCTCTGAGCACTGGGTTTGCTCCTCTGTGATCGCCTATGAGAGTTCTCTGCACTTGCACCTGATCCCAGGAGCTTAGTCTCCCAATACCCAGCCCAGTGCTTGATACTGGTAATTAATAATAATGAGGATGGCATTTGTATAACTCTAAGGGTTACGAAGCACATTACAAATATTACCTCATTTGATCCGCACAATAATCCTGGCAGGGAGTGCTGTTATTATCACCCCCATTTTCCGGATGAGGAAACTGAGTCTGGGAGCAGTTAAGTGACTTGCCCAGAGTCACACAGCCCGTAAGTGCCTGAGGCAGGCCTTGATCTCATCTTCCTCCAGATCCATCACTGGGCACCACGTAGCCCACCTAATAAAGGTTTCCCGGTGTGTCGGCTGAATGCGTGGCTGTTTACCTTTAACAGTCGTTGATTTTGGCCTTTGTGTTAACATTTGTAACATCCTCCCCCTTCTCTCGGCAGTTCCGTGTATAGGCCACGAGCCTTGGTCCACTTGGATAATAGCGAGTACTGGTCCAACCGAGCAGCAGCGTATAAAGGAAAGTCCCATCGAGGCAAATTTGACAACAGCATGGACAAGATCTATAGGAACTTATACAGGAAAGCCTGCGGTTCCAGCACCCAGGAAAGCTTCTAATGACACCTGCAACAGACTGCTTGCCCATGCCTGCTTCCCAATGAAATCTGTTCATAGAACCACTTTCTGTGTCTGTTTTCTGCCAGTGCAGGATGCTCTTCTGGCCCGGAGGGCAGCCCAGAGCCGGCATCTGGAGGGAGAGGTCTGAGGGGAGGCCAGGGCAGAGCAGGGGGGTGCTGTGCTTCTCCCCGGCTGGTGCCTCCCTCCTCTGCCTGACTGCCCAGTGCAGAGGCCACTGGGCTCTGAAAACATTCCCTTGCCTCTCCTTTGTTACTGTCAGGAAAAGTCCTCCAGGTAAGATGTCAGCACTGTGTGCCCCCAGTTACCCTGGCCTCGAGGTGTTCTGAGAGGTCTCGGGCACATCCATGGGGCTGCTCCCTCTGCCAGTGCTGATGCCTCTCTCGTGGTTCTTATCATATGTCCTGTCGAAGATACCCCATGGGCTGGAGACTTCCTCCTTGCATCCCTGGGGCTTCCCCATCTTGTCCCAAGATCTCCCCGCACGTCACATCCACCACCTCCTCTGCTTTGGGGTCTGGGGTCCTGGCCCCACTGGGAGGCTTGGGGGAGTTTGACTGGATCAGCATGGACCAGTCACTCCCCCAATCTCTGTGACCCTCCCGTCTTGGGCTGAAGTTTGCTCACCTGCCCAATGGAGATGGACCAGGTGATCTCTAAGGGTGCTTCCGTGATCGCTCCAGGGACTTTGTTAGTGGGACGCTGGTCATTCTGATGAGGACACGCCTGTGCAGGCTGCACTCACAACCAGTGGCAGCCAGTTCCTGACTTACTGGAGAGGACTCAACTGGGTCAGCTGTTAGGGGGTCAGAGCCATCCCCCTTGTGCCCCCAGAGCTGAGGACACACTCGGGTCCTGGAAGGGGGGAGCCCCCACTTGCCCTCCCCACCTCCCAACATCTTGTTCCTAGGGAGTCCTGTGTGGAGAACGGACGGATGGGTTCTCCTCCAGGGACTCGTTCCTCACTGCAACCCAAGAAGGTCGATGAGGAAGTGTATGCATAACAGTCCTCGCCATGTCACTCGTAGGAAAATGGAATCACAGCTGAAAAGCATCCCAGAAGTTATTTAGTCCTGAAAACAGATGCTCAGCATCCTCTCAAAGACCTGCAATGATGTGGATTCTTATCTGCCAACACAGAAGAAGCAACCTGTACTTGCGAAAGCTCTGATTGTTAGGCAGTTTTTCCTCATGTGGGTGGTAGGTGGCGCCATCGTGCACAGAGTGCCAGCCCTAGATCAGGAGGACCTGAGTTCAAATGTGACTGACCACAGACACTTACTAGCTGTATGACCCTGAGCAAAGCACTTAACCGTTTGCCTCAGTCTTCTCATCTGCAAAATGAGCTGGAGAAGGAAATGACAAACCACTCCGGTGTCTTTGCCAAGAAAACCCCAGACGGGGTCACGAAGAGTCAGACATAACTAACTGACCCCCCAAAACATTCCTTATATCTTGCTGTCTCTTAGCGTCTACTTATTCCCGTTGCTGCTGTAACAGTCCATCAACGACCTGAAGAAGCAGTCATGGACTCTTACATTTTCTTTTCTCCAGGCTAGACATCACCGCTTCCTTCAACAGATCCTCCTATGGCAGTCTCAAGTCTCCATCCGTCCTGATTGTCCTCCCCTAGGTGCTGTCCTTTTTGTCAGTTTCCTTCCTAAGATATGGTGCCCAGGGCAGCGCACAGCGCTCTACACGTTATACAATCACGGCGGAGTACAGCAATGCTCTCTTCTCCATCAGTCTGGAAACTGTGGAGAAGCCTGGAATCCCATGGGCTTTGGGGGCTGCCTTATCACCCGCTGACCGACTTTTTGAGCTCGCAATCCACTTGGCTCTCAGACTTTGTTCACAGCCATCGTTGTCTAGCTTCTCTCGTACTGTTGGCTTCTTGGTCCCCAGTTTAGGTCTTTACATTTATTCCCATTAAATCGGACTTTATTAAATTCTGACATGTCAGGATCTTTTTGGATTTGGCTCAGTCACCCGTCATGTTTGCTGTCCATCCTTGCTTCATGTATTCTGCCAGTTTGTTACACACGACATCTCTGCCACTCTGATAAAAATACTGAACAGCACAGAGAAGATTACAGATCTGTGGGACAGTCCACTAGAGCCATACCTCTAAGCCAACATTGACCCATTGATGACTCTTGGGTCCCGGCATTCAGCTGTTTCCAAATCCACTTACCATCATCTGTCACATCTCTCTTCATCTCGTCCACAAGGATACTTCATACAAGCCTGCTTAGCTGAAATCCAAGTCCTTCCTGTGTCTCTGGAACTGCATTGGTGCAGTAATCTGGGAACATTGTCCCAGTTGGATGCATTTTGTTTTGCTGTGTGATTCTCATGGCCATAAACAGCCCCTTGCCACCGGCAGTACCTTCTCATCAAACTGCCTAATACAGCATAGTGACTCAATGGCCACCATATTTAATCTTATCTCTTTTGTCTTTTTATTCTTCATTGATGTTATTGACATCATTTTCTTTATTATTTTGGGGTTCTGCTTTATTTTGCCTAAGTTCCTGTGAGTCTTCAAAGCTGAGCTCTGTAAATTCCACCATATTCACATATCATGTTTGTTGGGCCATCTATCAGTCGTTTGGCATATAATTTGCTTCCAGCTTTTTGCTGTTATAAATAACTGTCATGAATCATTTGGTAGATATGGGACCTTTCTTACTGTTTTTTTTTACTTCCTTGGATTAAAAACCTAGTATACAAGACAAAAAGATCTGAACAGTTCAGTAACTTTTCTCATGTAATTCCTAGTTGTTGTCCAGAATGGTTGGACCAATTCATAGCTCCATCAGCAGTGTCACTGTGTCCCTTCGATATCGACTATTTGCATCTTTTACCATTTTGTCTGTTTAAGAGATGAAATTGTTTTAATGACATTTCTCATGATATTCTGGAGCATGTTTTCTTAATAAAGTTTGCTTTCCTTCTTTTGAAGACTTCAGAGCCTTTGACCACTTACGTATCAGGGGATGAATTTTTAGTCGTATATTTGTGTTAATTCAGTATAGCTTTTGGATATCAGATGTGAGAATTGTTTGATGCAAAGTTTTCCCCCCATTCCATAGCTTTTCTTCTTATTCTAGGTGCATTGATGTTGTTCGTGCTAAAGCTTTTTCATTTTACATAATCAGAATTATATGTTTTGTCCTTCATAGTCTCTTCTATATCTTGTTATGATTCCTTCCCATCCATAGGTTTATGTGTATGTGTGTATATATATATATATATATATATATTATGTATATTACATATACATAGTACATATATATATATTATGTATATTACATATACATATGCACATATATATGACTTTGCATTATGATCTGTCTTTTGCAGTGATGTTGTCACATTTACATTTAGATTGTTCATTCATTTGAAATGTCTCATGATGGGTGAGGAAGGATGAAAGGCAATGTGGCACAGCAACTGGAGAGCCAGCCAAGGAACTGGGAGAGCCTAGCCCCTGCCAGGGACATGGTCATTGTTGGGTCACCTGAACTCTCGGTGCCCCTAGACAGCTCTCGAAGACTGAAGTCCCAGGAGACTTGTGACCTGCATCAGCGGAGGGAGTTTACATACCAGGAATTTACCGAATCGATGAAATGATGGGTTGGGGCCCAAGACAAAATGAAGACGCCAGTCTCTAAATGATTTTCTGACAAATTTCTCGAGATTTCCCAGCAGGTCTCTTCAAATAGAGATCCTCCCCCAGGCATGCAGATTAGCACTAGACTGCTGCACAGCCTGGCCTGTCCTTGGTGGGGACCTTCTGGTTTTCTGATAACTTTCCTTTTCCAGATGCTCAGTAAAAACCCTTTTAATACTTTTTAGAATTTCACCAGCAATTAAAGGCACTTCCTGCGGTTTGTGGGTTCTGCCTTTTCCTCCCCATCTCCAGAATTAGAGCATTTGCTCTCTAGGCCCGTGCACTGCTCCCATTCACCACAGTCTCTTGGAGGTTGCTGCCCTGCCACCTCTCACTTCCACCAATTCTCCCAGGAGCCGGGGTACTGTTCTTCACAGCCCAGTACCTGGCACTTCCAAGGGCAGCCAGGGGTGACTCTCTCACAGCTATCGTGGCAAACCAGTGTCCTTCTCCCTTGTCCAGGCTGACAGCTGTCCTCCTCGGGAGAAAAGAGGGGACAAGCAAGGGCAGATGAGGTTGGCCTTCTCACTGCATCACTTATCACCCCCTTAACAGTAAGCAGTGTGGGTGGCCCTGGCCCTGCCTTGACTTATCTTCTGCTGCTGAAGCCATGAAATACCCTGAATGAATACATCTGTATAGAGACCACTCGGCCCCCTGCCCCTATCTATCTAGCAGGAATCTGAGTACAGCCTTTCATAGCATTCTGAGGACAATGGTGACAGGGTCAAAGAGGAAGAGAGGCATAATGAATAAAACATCTTCATTTGAATTTATCAACATTAAAAGACTTCAAACTTTCACAATAAGTATATTTTAATATAGTAATTTTGTATAACCAATTTTTAGTGTGGACCTATTAATTTGTTTCCTTCCAGGGATCTCATTTTGGGGGTGGGACCTCCTTTGATATCAGTCCTATATCACAACCAAAAAGAGGAAGTGAGGCATAATGGGTAGAACTGACCGTGGAGTCAGGAAGATGACTTGAATTTTTTAGGTCCTGCCTCTGAAGCACACAGACCGCACAGCCCTGAGCAAATCACAGAACCTCTCGGGCCAAGACACAACTCTGTAGGACTCGGGGAGCTAGCTCATGAAAAGTTCCCTAAGCCAACGACATCATGTCTGCCCACCACCCCCAAAAATTACGGTCAGAGTATTTTCTCACTTTGGGTCTTCATGTGGTTAAATTCAGATTTTAAAATCCATGAGTTTGCTGTAGACCCCTACCTCTGTTCAGGTGGGGAGGTCCTTTCTGGATGGAGAGCTATTAACATCTGAGGATGGGATTATTGCTTGAGATCCCCAAATAGAAAAGATGAGGTTTTTTCCATGCATAAAAATAAAGGTAGAATGTTTCCATGTTAAACTGTCTGAATTGTAGGACTTAGTATCATAAGACCCAGAGCTAGCAGGGACCTGAGGGGCCATGGGTCATCTAGTCAGAGACCATGGAGCCTAACCCACACCTGGACAAAGATCTCCTTGACATCTGTTTAATAACTAGTCAGCCTGAAGATCAGGAAAAAGAGAGGGGCTGGGGGTAATCCTCCGAAGCTGAGATCACCTCTGGAGAGAAAAAGGAGGACACCACAGAACAGAGCTTTGGGGGGACATCTACAGGCAGGGGGAATGTTGTAGGTGAAGATCTAGTAAATGAGAATCAGAAGCAGCCACTGGACAGGTAAGAGGAGAGCCGGGAGAAGCAGGGTCATGAAGATGAGAATAGGAGACAATTCCTTCTATCAGATGCAAATTCAGCCTTGCTCCTCTTTGGCCATGCATGGAGCGTGTGTGTGTGTGTGTGTGTGTGTGTGTGTGTGTGTGTGTGTGTGTGTGTGTGTGTGTGTGAGTGAGTGCATGTGATGATGCCAGCAGGGCCCTCCTCCCCTCCCGGTGTTCCCCAAACTCTGCCTCCTCGGCTGTTTGCCCACGTTTCAGCCATACTGTCTGAAGCTTCATTTGTCTCCCACTCCATCCTTCAGATAACGCTGCCACTCAGCACCCATCTGGGACCCATATTGTTCCTTCCCATTGAAGGATGGGAACCATCTTTTCATGACAAGCAGAGCTCGAGCTCCAAAGCCACGCACGCATTCCTGCTTTTATTATGAAACACCTCCCTCTTCCCCAGGAAACACATATGTGTCTTGTATATTTCAAGATGTTCCTTCCTCGCTGTGTAGGCAGGGCTGCATTTGGAAATAGCTTTAGCCCCAAGGCTGGGCACCTGCTCCCCCAACATCTGAGGGCAGCACTGAAGAGGGCATGGTATCCTAGCCCACAGAACCCTGGGCAGGGATTAGGAGCAGGGAAGGGAAGGGGAAATAAATATCTATTAAGTGCCTACCACTGTGCTAATCCTCACAACAACCCTGGGAAATAGGTGCTATTGTTATCCCCATTTTATAGATTAGGAAACTGTGGCAGACAGAGGTTAAGACTTGCCTAGGGACACACACAAGGTATATAAGGCCAAATTTGAACTCAGGTCTTCCTGACTCCAGGGCCCAGTGTTTTATCCACTGTGGCACCACCTAGCTGAGAAGGACCTACTGTAGTCCCATTATTATGAAGTGACAGAAACTGAAGCCCAGAGAGGGAAAAGGACTTCCTGAAAGCCAC